GCATGTATTGGTATTCTATTTAAATTAACGTTTGATTCATTTCTACCTCTACCAGAACCGAAAATAGTAACGCACAGGATGCAAGGTTAAAATCTCACCTGATCAGTTTATTTCCACTCTCCTATTTACGCAGCTGTGGGCTTGCTGCTGATTGGTTGCTTAAAGTTCTTAGGTCCGCATTTTAGCGATCGATTTAAAATCTTCCTTTTTTATTTTCTTCTAATGGTTTCTTGACGTCTCTTTCAAGTTTGTGGATCGTATTTACATTTTTGTCTCTTTGTTTTTGTCTTAATTTTATTTTTGCATATAATTATTGAATTTAGCGGTTTTTTTGTTTTTTTTTGTTTCTAAGAGCTATTTTTTTGACACTTTAAATAATTGCACAACACAGACAACGTAATTAGAACACCACTGTGTAGGCGCAGCATTTATTAGTTAAATCAATATAACTTAATCGAACTTTATATTTTTTTTTGTTCTTTCAGATACGTGTAGAACCATCATCAACCTGTCCGATGCTGTAGTGTATCCAGCCTCGTTAATTAGAATACGTCTTGCAGCATTCCCATATTTCCACTAGAAAAATTTCGGTGGAATTGAAATCTATAGAGAATGAATTTTTTTCTCTCTCTTTGTTTTATAGATATTATTATTGAATTTAGCAAATTTGTTTTTTTCTTTGTTTTTAACAGTTATTTTACTTGATTTTTTTCGGTTGACTCATGAAATGATTTACAACATAGTTCAAACATCACTGCGGTGGTGCAGCATTTATTCGTTAAATCAATAGAAATTAATCAAATATTATATTTTTTTTTTGTTCTTGCAGATACATGTCGAACCATCTTCGAACAGTTTACAGATTTCCATTCGCCATTGCATGTTTTCTGAAAAGCTTTATTTAACAATGCAAAAGCATCCTTTATCCAAATTATCTCCTTTTTTTTGTTCTTCTATTTCTTTTATCATAGGCAGCTGGTAAAAATAACTGGTCTTCGGGGTCGCGGTGAACGACGCACCTGACGTCGCCGCACTTACCTGTTATAGCCGTTCTCGATCTATTGTACAAGCATCCTGATTTTAGATATCCTTTCGTCTTCGACCGCCGGAAAGTAATGTCTTTCACAGTCCAGCCCTCTCTTCCCCACGTTCGTAGGTGTTGCCTCCCTTGCCTCATCCTATCTTGCATCAACCTGTCGGGAGCTTCTCCGGGTCTGTCTCTTATACACATCTAGATGTGTATAAGAGACAGCTTTTGCTGCGTATGGCACCCCATATATAAGCATAGTATTGGCGTGTGAAGATTAATAAGAAAAGGGAAAAACTAAAGGTGAAGACTGTCGTTTTTTCACCTGTCACAATCCACTGTTTTTTTTTATACAGCGGTATAATACTATTGGACTCTATCTTCTGTAGAGTTTCCATTTGTCGTCGAGCGTCGGTCTTTCCCAGTCTGTATTCTTTTCTCCACGTTCGAAACCAAAGTCGGAATTCGAACACGTTGCCTCCCTTTGAAAAAAAAAAATTCGTCGTTCCGGTTTGCGATCTCTTCGTTGGACGATTGCTGTCGTCTTTTGTTTTCCCCTCCCCTCCCCCCAACGTCAAGTCCATCGTCTTTAAGATAACGGTGTATACTGTTGTTCTTTTTCGCGTGCAGCATGTCGATCGTTGTTTTTGTGCTTTCTTCCATAACTTTCTTGTCCTGATCTTTTTCCTTTTTGGCTTTTTTTGTCGATAAATTTTCGACTCCTCTGTTCAGTTTATTCACATAAAGTTGTGCTTTCGTTCTCTCCGCAATCTCAGGCAAGAATCGGAATTTGAATCGGAACACGTGCAGATCGCACCATTCGTTGGCTCGTTCGTATCGAACGAGCCACTCCGTCCGCCTTCCTGTGTAAGTGCACTGTTAGAAATTTTCCTGTAAAAATACCGTCAAAATATTGGCAACCAGGACGCCAGTTGTCTACCGTAATGTATAATTACATTTACCGTAAATAATAAATTCCTGTAGAAATACCGTCAAAATACTGGCAACCAGGACGCCAGTCGTCTACCGTAATGTATAATTACATTTACCGTAAGTAATAAATTCCTGTAAAAATACCGTCAAAATACTGGCAACCAGGACGCCAGTCGTCTACCGTAATGTATAATTACATTTACCGTAAATAATAAATTCCTGTAAAAATACCATCAAAATACTGGCAACCAGGACGCCAGTCGTCTACCGTAATGTAAAATCACATTTACCGTTAAAAGTAAATTTATGTAGAACTACGGTAAATTACTGTTGATTTAAATACCGGTAGTCAACCGTAATGTAGAATCACATTTACCGTTAAAAGTAAATTTATGTAAAAATACAGTAAATTACTGTCAATCTGAATGCCGGTCGTCAACTGTAACGTAGAATCACAGGTAACGTTGTTAGAAAAATTCCATGTAAACATACCGTCAAATGTAAAAATACCGTCAAATTACTGTCAATATGAGTGCCGCTGTCAAACGTTATGTAAAATCACAGGTACCGTTAACAATGAAATTCCGTAAAAAAACGGGAAATTACTGTCAATCTGAATGCCGGTAGGATCACAGATGACGTTAGTAGTTAAATTCCTGTAAAAAATACTGTCAAATTACTGTTAATCGTAATGTAGAATCACAGGCGACGTTATTAATAATTTCTGAAAACCGTAAAAATACTGTCAATCAGAATGTCGGTCAACTGTTAACATGTAGAATCACAGGTATCGTTAATAATGAATTTCTGTAAAAATATGGTGAATTACTGTCGACGATTGTCGAATTTAAGATACAGTAAAACCAAATCTGTAAATCTTATTCAACATATATAACTCTTTACAAAACTATAAAATTTGCATACAATAAATACTGAGTATTTAAATTTTTTGAATTATTTAACCTGCTTATAACACTGTAATTATCATTTAAACACTCTACTTGCTTGTTAACTATCATTTGCAAAACCGGATCACTTTACTATCAAAACCACGTCTGTGATTCCTTTAATTCAAATACTGTAATTGCTAATTATCAAGTTTTTATACCCTTTTTTTTTATCATAGTTTTAACAATTTTTAATCTGTAATAATAAATTAGCTGGCCTATTGGTAAACATAGCAAAAACACAAGTTTCAATCAGAAATAGTACAGTAAATTTGAGTATTATTTAACCTGCTTATAACACTGTAATTATCATTTAATCACTCTACTTGCTTGTTAACTATCATTTGCAAAACCGGATCACTTTACTATCAAAACCACGTCTGTGATTCCTTTAATTCAAATACTGTAATTGCTAATTATCAAGTTTTTATACCCTTTTTTTTTTATCATAGTTTTAACAATTTTTAATCTGTAATAATAAATTAGCTGGCCTATTGGTAAACATAGCAAAAACACAAGTTTCAATCAGAAATAGTACAGTAAATTTGAGTATTATTTAACCTGCTTTATAACACTGTAATTATCATTTAATCACTCTACTTGCTTGTTAACTATCATTTGCAAAACCGGATCACTTTACTATCAAAACCACGTCTGTGATTCCTTTAATTCAAATACTGTAATTGCTAATTATCAAGTTTTTATACCCTTTTTTTTATCATAGTTTTAACAATTTTTAATCTGTAATAATAAATTAGCTGGCCTATTGGTAAACATAGCAAAAACACAAGTTTCAATCAGAAATAGTACAGTAAATTTGAGTATTATTTAACCTGCTTATATCACTGTAATTATCATTTAATCACTTTACTTGCTTGTTAAATATCATTTGCAAATACCGGATCACTTTACTATCAAAACCACATCTGTGATTCCTATAATTCAAATACTGTACTGTAATTGCTGATTATCAAGTTTTCCCATTTTTTATCATAGTTCTAACAATTTTTAATCTGTAATAGTAAATTAGCTGGCCTATTGGTAAACATAGCAAAAACACAAGTTTCAATCAGAAATAGTACAGTAAATTTGAGTATTATTTAACCTGCTTATATCACTGTAATTATCATTTAATCACTCTACTTGCTTGTTAAATATCATTTGCAAATACCGGATCACTTTACTATCAAAACCACATCTGTGATTCCTTTAATTCAAATACTGTAATTGCTGATTATCAACTTTTTCTATTTTTTATCATAGTTCTAACAATTTTTAATCTGTAATAGTAAATTAGCTGGCCTACTGGTAAACATAGCAAAAACACAAGTTTCAATCAGTAATAGTACAGAAAATTTGCTAGCCTACTGTTAAACAAACATGGTAATTAAAGCTAAAGCTTTAGACCTTTCAATGCTACTTATGGAATACCAATACATGTATTTAGCTTAAAGTCAGGCTCCGAAGAAAAAAAAAATGTTTGATATGTTGTAGAATTGATTTTTCTAAGACAGAAAAAAGTAGTTTGATCAAAAACTGAGCAAAGGTGAATGATATACAGATTTTTTAATATTTAAAAACTGGGGGAAAAAGGGGCATAACCGCCCATTTTACACATCTTTTTCGCCCAGTTTTGAAATATTCAAAAATCTGCATTTCATTCACCGTTGCTCAGCTTTTGATCAAACTACATTTTTCTGTCTTAGAAAAATCAGTTCTACAACAAAACAAAAAATGTTTTTCCTCCAGAGCCTGACTTTAAATACCTGTACACTGTAATTATCAATTTTATGTCAACAGCAGGCTGTTTACTATCACTTTATTATACTGTCTGAGATGCTGCTATGACAACCATGAATATTCAATAGATGTGAAAACCATACTCACAAGGATAATTTTAGCACGCGAGTGCACCCTGCAGATCAAATTTGACACACATTAGGCTTCCTGCATATCACACCCTAAACGGGTAACTTAACTATCAAAACCATGTCCGTGATTCCTCATAATTCAAACCAGCAATTGCTAATTATCAAATTATCACCTTTTTGAATCATAGTTTAAACAAGTTTAAAAAAAGAACTGCAACACACTATTATATTGCTGATTGAGAGCTACAAACAAATCATATAATTATCAATTTTTTGTCAATGGTGACAACTAACCTTCCATCTAAAGGTTGTAATGGCTGGCAGCAAAGACAGATGGAGTATATAATCTTGCTTCTTTTACAATATTTAGTGATCCAAAACTCACTCATGCGTTGGTAAGCTGTAAGATCTTTGGACTTATTGCTGGTTTTTTGCCTCTAGCTGTCCTGGACTTCTTGGATCCTTTCTCGGGGTTGATCCCAAGCATAACTCTGCGAAGATAAACAGTTTTAACCAATTAAAAGTATGTTAGAATATATTTGGAAGAATAAGGTTCAAACTCTTGAACTCTTGGCCGCCTAGGGCCGGGGGCCCTAGGCGGCCCCCTGGCCCCCCACTCAAGTGAGACTCAATTCACTCCACTAGCCACCCCCCCTCCCCCGTCAGGGCCTTTAGCCCCTCCATCGGGCAAGTCCTGGCGCCAAAACTGCTAAAGACGATGGAAACCCCAGTCCCAGAAGTGATATTTAATTGGAGGGAGACCTGCATGTACTTCGAGCAATAAATTTTCCTGATTTTATTTATTTTTGGAGAAACAATTTGTATCTTTCGGAAATTTTTTAATTTGTTAAGCTTCTAAAAAATTACTGTAAGTTCGCAAATATTTTAAAGAAATTTGAAAAAAAAAAAAAAAAAAAAAAATTAAAAACCCAAAAAATGGAAATTGTAAAGAGAACAATAAATTTCTAACCTCTGTATGAATTCCAATACTGTGTGGCTAGCTAACAGATAATTCAGATTGAAAACATAGTATGCGCCAAACAAAATACATACAGCTGCCAAAGGATTATGAACTTTGGTGGTGACCTGTTTTTCAATTGACAGAGAGAAGACGCAAGCTGTCAGAGGCTCTCCTATTTAAAGAAACATATGCAATATAATAATTTACATATTAAATATAATATTCATACACTCTGTATATTAGTTAGCCATCGCACACGATTTAGTACAGGTGCAATGATTCTGTCCGATAACAATGTACTGATTACGTACTATACGATTATGAACAAATTATCAATGGTATTTAAGATAGAATTTTCTGTTACTGTTGTATCACATACATCCTGTCCTTAAAACAAAATTGCAAGTCTTGAGCTACTTTTTACAATTCTGTGAGAGAACTTACCATGTGCAATTAGACTGGGCAATCCTAAAACACCCTTGATACTCTTCACTTTCTGTAAAGTGTCATACAGTAATTTGCACACAAGTTTTACAAATTATTGTATATGGTACACACATCAATGTATATTTTGTTTACAATTTTCATAAAGCATGTTAAGAAAGAAAGTAAAGTGTACAGGGAGACAAGACATGCCTATCAAATCAAGTAAACAATTTTTCACTTTTTTCAATACAATTACAACAGAATTTCCTTACAAATACAAGGTAAAAACAAGGAATTATGTAAATTGAAGCATGTCGTGGCGAAATGGTTAAGTTGTCGCACAGTCTAGTATTGAGTAAATGAGCTATAAAATATGGGAGCTCAAAAATTGCCTAAAAATCCAAATTTGTTTTTCATTAAAATAGATCAATAGTTTAATGTCTTATTAATCATTGTACCAAAGTATTAGTTCTGTAAGTGGTCAATAAATTGTTTATTTAATGTTATTTTGATAGTTCATTCTATTAAACAATGTATGTATGTTTATCTTGATTCTAAGAGTACTATACTTTCACTTTTCCAATAACTTAGGCTTGAAATGTCCAATTTCAATGAATGACACCTCATTTTAAAGATTACATACTCAGGTATCTGAAAATACCATCAACTTGCATTTCAATTTTTACTACAACTTAGGCATTTTGCCACAACTGGCCTTACAACAAGTAAAAAGGAGGCAAAACCCTAGAAGATAAGAAAAATAAATCTTTGGTGAAACAGCCTGAAAACAGAAACAGCACAGGACAAACGAGTAAACATATCAAATAAAGACTGACAAACTGAGACTGGCAGCAAAAAGAAGTTGGTGGGGGAGGGTGGGTAATGAATTCCAAAATTTCAGGCTTGAAAAGCTGATGTTGGAAATAATAAGTGCTATGGGTGGGTATACAAATATTAGAGCTATTTCGTGTACTGTAATGGTGAATAGATTTGTAAAATGTTACAGAAATGAATTTGGTAAAATACAGTAATTGGAAGCATTTAACAAGATATTGTTGAAGAGATTTTATATCAGCAATTTTTAGAATATTGAGATTAGAGAATAAAGATGAAGAATATGACCATGGTGGAGCGCCAGATATAGCCTTCTTTTGAATTATTTGAAGTTTACTTAAGTTGGATGGGCATGTGTTTCCCCAAACAATGTTTCAGTAACTCAATAGGGAAGAATAAGGTAGCAATAGAGAATACAAAGAATATTAGGGAACAAACTAGGATAACCTAAAAATTATAACAAGGTTTTTGGATACTTTGATTTCAATTTGGCTTATTTGTTTCTTCTAATTTAAAACCCCTGGTCAGGATCAGGAGTTTGTGATTTGTTGGGTTTCGAAAAAGAATGAAGCTAAATTTCTCGTGGTTAATTGAAAGTTTGTTGGCAGGAAAGTATTGGGAAAGGAAATAAAATTGAATAAGGTACAGTATATATTTTTGCTAAAATATAGAGCAATCGTGTCATCTGCATGGAGAAAAAGATATAAGCTTGGAAGACAAGTGAATAGATTGAAAATCATCACATAATTTGTAAGTGTTGCCAAAAAGTCACAAAGTCACTTACTTGAAAAATGTAGCCAAATAGTAGGCCCTAAATTTTGTAGTTGACAGAAATCTTAACTGTTAATTTTTCATAATAAATTTGCAAAATATATAAGTGATACATAAACATTTTTAATTCAATAAAATTTAGTTATTATGTTGTATTCACAAAAGCAGTGCAAATTATAAGCTAAATATTTTACCTGATCAGTGGGCATGGTCAGTATCACTTGTTCAATTTCCTCTTCAAAGTAGGCACCTAAACAAGTCAGAAGACCTATAATTTCTGGTGTGTTGTCTTCTCTCTTTTTCTTTGCTAACTCTATCTCTTTAACTACTTCTTTGGGTTGGTCTTCAAAATATCTAAGTAGTTTGGGGACTTTATTTGCATAGGCCATCTTCATTTTTTCCATAATATTGAAGTCCAGCAGGTAGTTGCAGTGGAGAATTAGAAACTGCTCTTGGAATAGGTAGGGCCATTTCACTAATGTGTCACTCAAGAGATGGTCTCTGCTGTTAATATGTCTGCGTTGGGTTGCATAGGTCAACATCATGTCAGTTTCCACGTCATCTCCATTCTCATTTTTCGTGAACTTATCCTGTAACTTTTCCATAATATCCTTTTGAGTGGCTTCTGTTTGTCCTTCTGGCAAACCATCTGGTTGCCATCTTGCGCATCCGTAACTATCCATTAGTTTACGTTTAAATTGCTTACCATCCTTCAGCTGCACATGCACTTTCAATGATACCTGCGACTTAGGTCTGCTAATATTGTCAACACGATTGACTAACTGGTTTAACAAACTGTCATAACCGGTTCCTACTGTGTCTCCGTCGCACACATCCAACAAAGATTTCGGATATTTGCTAACAGCTTTTGCTGCCACTATTCTTAGTTGAGAAGTGCGTGGGTAAGGTTTATTGTCATAAATACATTCATCAACTATAAATCTTACTAGCTCTTTTCTTTCTGATGGAGGAAGTCGTGTACCTTTCTGCAGATACTTTTTGACTCTGTTTGGTACTTTGTTCCAGTTCACATCGCCAAGATTGCCTCCACTGTCATCCATTGAAATGCCTTTGCTTCCAAGTGACAGCCTGCCTTGGTCTATAAACATCAATATAAAATAGTTTAGGTCTATATTAAAATCCCCCGCATAAAAACAACAATTATTACTACACTACACCACATAACATTTCACACAAACACCATGCTGGTAAACTCTCATCCTACAGTTGCAATCATGCAAAGTTACACATGGCCACTAAAAATCAATTTGGAAGCACGACCCTCTAAATGTACAATCAAGTTATTGTCCCACATTTCCCCCAGGTAACAAATCTGAAAGATATAATCCTAGTCATATCCTATTAAAGGCCATGTACCTTTCTAACAAGTCATTTAAGGGCTTTTTGAGCCAGGTTTGGCATGCTGGGCTCAGAAAGTGGCCATGTTATGACTGAGACAAAAATACTTGATAATTTAAAACAAATTCAATTTCAAATGAGGACATTTACTTAGAACTGTTGTGTACCTGGAAGTGATGGCAAAGATGACTCTTCATGACTTGAATTTCCACCAAAACTGGATGAATCTTCCAGACTTGAAATGGGACTTGATGAAGTTCCTGGAGTACTTCGTCCAAATGTTACAGGAGATAGATAGATGGAGGAGGTATCCTCTCGGGCTGTAATAACATTTTATAACATCTCATCATGTTTTTATTAATACCCTAATTAAGTGGTTGATTGAAAGAACATTCAGGACTAAATCTGATGAATTGCAACAAACTATAATTATAAGTCTAACAATTTAAACCTGCACAAAATGTAAACAGTTAATTTTAGTTTTGGGGCACATAATTTGTGTATATGTATCTTGTTACTAAATCAACACATTTATGTGTCATGTAATTACATAAGATATAATTGTTAAAATAGCATCAAAACTTTTAAAAAGCATTAATTTTTTTAAATAGTTTCTTCCAAAGGTTAGAGGTTGATAATAATTTTAATGATTAGACATTATAGTTGAATAATACAGTATATTGTCTGAACAACGTCAGTTATAAATGCGAGTGACATTTTTTTTTTATCAGTTCGCAACTTTTGATCACAGACATCAATTGCAATCTGTACAATGTGCATGAAAATGTTTCGTAAATAGGAAGCACTTTGTAATTACAAGTGCCCCGAATTTATTTTTTAAAACAAGTCAACCTCATCATAGATTCTGAGCATACGCATAATCAGAATAAACACGCCTTATCCATACATCTACAATATATCTTACATTTCAAAAAATCTATGCCACTTCCGCAAATCTATGGGCTTTAGAATGTCTTGAATGTTATTCTCTGGGACTAGCGAAAGATCCTGCTCATATATTACACCGAGCTCATCTAGTTTCATCAAAAGTTTTTCCTTTGTCTCCTTTTTTATGTTCGGCAAAATTCACAGACATGCTTGTTCAATATCAGATATAATGAGAGTATCAGTATCGCTGTCAGTTTCCATAGTTATCTGTAATGAGTGACATATACTGTACATCTATGAATATTATGTTAAAACCTGTGTTCGGATCACATTTTGACTACACAAGAAGTTGTGGCAAATTTGAATGAGAGATGCAAGTTTGCTTCCCTTTCGTAAAATTCTGAATTTCTAAATTCTAAAATCAAACACTTTATACAGTACCCTCCGCGAGGTGACGTTTATGAGCCCATTTGTTTAAAAACATGTTCTGCACATACATCTCACACACACATTTCACATCTGCTGTATTATCCCTATAGTTCCACTGTGACCTAAGGTCACAAATTAATTAAAAATGGGACAGAGCATGCCAAAAAATCTAAATGATAGTCCTACAGTATCTTTTGAGCCTTTTGACTTTAATTGCCTCAATTTAGTTTTTTGTCCCGCAGTGATTTATTTCTTTTTAAAAAGGTGTCAAAAATACACAGGACGATAAATTTTATTGACATTTATATGACATGTAATACATTTAATTAATTAATTGATGATGATAATTAGAAAGCGCCTAAAGCACTTTTGGGACTGAATGGGTTTTAAAAAACTATAAAATTAAACCAATTTTTGCACAATAATTACTATTACAGACCAAATATGAACAGACCCTCCCTCATCAATGAAAACAAAAGCGAATTAATCTATTGTTCCGATTAAAAAAAAATAAAAAAAACTCCCCTTCCTCATCAATTTTTGTTACAAAAAGAATGATAATCTAATAATTTTTTATATGTGCCCTTACACAAATCAGTGCAGTTTCAGTGCTATGGTGTTTTTTTAACACATTTTTTTAGATAAAATGAAGGCATTATTATATCCTCATCAGATCTGTTTTTCTATACAGTAGTATATTTCTACACAATGAGCTGGTTGTATGTCCTGACTAAAGGGATACCACGTCTGTTTTTATGGATTCTAGTTATAATCTAGGCCCAGGCTAGGCCTAGCGAGTTTGGGAAAATACGATCGAGAGCGAGTAACACTGTTTTCGAAACTGAAAAAACATCATTGTCAGGATGCATCTACCATGCCAGTATTACAATTTTTTTTAAATCAGACAGAAGAATACTAAATTCCTCATTATATATCAATAAGAATGTTCCCTCCTAGGCCTAGGGCCTATGTGATAATATGAGGTAGGCTTAGGCCTTGCCTATACAAGCTTAGATCTAATTACCTAGCCGTTAGAGACGTCCTACAGTACCTAGGCTAGGCCTAGCTAGTAGTAGTTCTTAAAATATATTGCTTTATGCCTCGAAAAACTACTTTGGCGCAAACAACACTGTGATCTGATTATTGAACAGTTTCATCATTACGTCCCCATCTGAGACCTAGAAGGCCTATATAAACGAGTCAAGAGTATGGCCGTGCACGTGGGTATAGGCCTAGGCAAATTCATGAAGGCCCTGACTTTAAATGACTAGGTTAGAGGCCTAGAATCAGAACTCATATGCAGCCTAGGCCAGATCGCTAGGCTCCTTGGAGGCGAGGAGGATAAACAACAAAATTCAGTACTTTCGCTTATTAAGAGGATTAATAGAGACATATACGTACCTTCTTACGCACTTTTCTTCCCCAACTGCGAACTCTCGAGGGAATACTAAACTTTACATGTGCTCTCGATCCTATATTTTGACATAGTCCGCGCCACAAACAAACGATACAATACGCATGCGTGCCGCAATGCGGCAAAGCAATTGAAAGATGTCACGTGATCGTAAACGCGCCAAATAAACAGATTTCACTATAATTTTACGTCAGAGAACGTAGAATAACAACAATTAAAAAAAATGTATTTTGTGGTTGGATTTTATAGCCTACAGGTTAATACGTAAACGGCGACCAAGCACCATATAATATATTTTCAAATTCGCCCGGTAGTAGGCAGGCCATTATGAGCTCGACGTTGAAAACAGAACGGTGTTTTAACGTAGTATTATAGTGTGTGAAGTGTTATGGGTAACAATCACACCGTATTGACACTTAGGCCTAGGCCTATTTTTACAGTAAATTGGATAAGGCTACAATGAACGTAAATTCACAGATGATTATTTACTGCTGGGCCTATAAAACATAATGGCGAATATGAACCGTTATGTGACATCGAAGCGTTATTCACAATCTCATTGTTGTTACACAAACCGTTAAAATGTAGTAGGCCACAGTAGGCCTACTGGATGTTAAAAGATATTTTGTATGGCTAGGCCTTTTAAGGCCTATGTAAAATTATGCAATTCATCTGAACATTAGAGCTCCGCCGTTAATTAACAGAATGCTGCTGATTTTGACTTGTATACGGAAAACAGTAATTATGATGATGTTTTACCAAGGAGGTCCACTAAATTTACGACCACTTTATATGTTTAGGCCTACAAAATATTCTGTTGAAATAGGCCTACCTAACAAAAGTTATTAACACATATAGGCATACCTACAAAACAAAACGGTAGTAAATTTACACTAATAGTAATTTTCGAGCTCCGACGTTAAAATACAGAATGAGATTTAAACCTGTAGAAAAACGATGTGATACCGGTATAATCTACAACAAAACGCCAATTGTATTATACAAAATACAATCACACGTCCTTATTTTTTACAGTAAATTGGATTAAGTTCACAATCTCATCATTGTTATACAAAGATACTGTTAAACCGGGTGTACTTATGTACGTTAAAATATATTTTGTACTGTAAAATTACGCCAATTCATAACTGACCAAGTACGAACTCCGACGTTAATTAACTGAATGTTGATTATGTTGATTTTGACCTGTTAAATTACGGAAAATAGTAATACGACGACGAATTTAACCACCAAAGCACATTAAAGTTACGACTTCATCGTATGTTTACATAAATTCCGTTAAAATACATAACATTTTATTAACAAATATAAATACAATGCAATACATAACGGTTATGGTAATTTTACACCAATTTATAGTTTAAATTTTGAACTCCGACGTTAAAATACAGAATGTAGATTTTAACCTGTAGGAAAACGATAGGTATGATACCGGTAATTTACAACAAAACATCAATCTATCGTATTATTGTATACAAAATACCGTTAAAATACAGTCACTTGGTAGTGACCCATATTATTACAGTAAATTAGAGTACGGTAAATGTAAAATTACAGACATTTTTTACAGTATAAATTGGGTTACGGTGAATGTAAAATTCAGACATCTTTTATTGATCAGTGAACGTAAAATAACGGAAAATTATTTATTTACCCGCGAAGATGAACTGATTACTAACACCGAAGCGTTTAAATTCACATCGTTATACAAAAATATGGTTAAAATACGTACTTTTGTTAAAAAGTATTTTGAACTGTAAAATTACGCCAATTCATAACTAACTATTACGAGCTCCGACGTTAAATTACTTAATGTTGATTTTGACCTGTTTTTGACGAATATGACGACGTAGTTTAACCACAAAACACGTTACAATTCACCGTATATTTACATAGCAATTTTTTTGCAATACACAACACTTTATTCATACGGTACAATACATAACATTTAAGGTAAATTTACACCATTATAGTTTAAATTCTGAGCTCTGACGTTAAAATACAGAATGGAGATTTTAACCTGTAAAAAAACGATAAAATACAGGTGATTTACAACAAATCACCATGAGTCTATCTTATTAATATTATACAAAATACCGTTAAAATACAATTTCACGGTAGTGACCATTATTTTTACAGTAAATTGGATTTCAGTAAACGTAAAACTACAGACATATTTTACTGATAGTAGAATTACAACGGCGAACCTAAAATTACTGAAAAAATGTTAATTTTACCATCGAATATGAACCGTTATTTAACATCGAAGTGTCTAAATTCACAGTCTCATCGTTGTTATACAACAAATACCGTTAAAATTCGTAGTGCTTGTTAAAAAAATATTTTGTACTGTAAAATTACGCCAGTTCATATCTGAAAATTACGAGCTCCAACGTTAATTAACGTCAATGTTGATTTTGACCTGGAAAACAGTAATATTACGACGTAATTTAACCGCCAAACACATTAAATTTACGAATTCACCTTATATTTACATAAAAATTCCGTTGAAATACACTGACACATTTTAACCTGTAGAAAAACGATATGATGCCGGAAATTTACAAGAAAACGCCAATATATCGTATTACTATATACAAAATACCGTTAAAATACAATCACACGGTAGTGACCCTTATTTTTACAGTAAATTTGATTACGGTAAACGTAAAATTACAGACATTTTTTACAGTGTGGTCGCGACGTCAGGTTTCATGCGAACATGACTGTTTCCTTCCACGATTTTCGTTGTGGCATTTCCTGGTAAGTTCTCTTTCTATTCCCGATTAAAATCAAGGAGATTTTCCAACCTCAACAGCAGTCGCAACACCGATCGGTCTCAAGCATCATGGATGGAACAGCGTCGGAGTACAACAGCGGATCGTGCAGCAAGTCGAGAATTGTTGTTGTGCCTTCTTCCATAACTTTTTTTATCCATATCTTTTTCTTTGGTCTGGTCTTCTTTTCCTTTTTGCGACTCCCCTGTCAGTTTATTTACATAAAGTTGCGCCTTGTTTCTTCCGCAATCTCCGTTGTCGAGTTCCTGGGTAAGTGTGGCGACGTCAGTTTCCGTGCGAACATAATACCGGTTTCTTTCCACGATATTCGTTATATCCTTCCCTGGTAAGTGTGGCGACGTCAGGTTCAATGTCGGGTTTCCCCCCGAACTTCGAAATTCCACGAACTGTAGTATGTTGCCTCTTTGTCAGCAATCGGTACCTCGACGAATTTATCTCTTTCCAATCAAAGTGTTTGCACAGTAGGTCTAAGTTTGGAACTGTCAAAACAGGAACTTTACTTCTTCGTCAATCATCGCTGGTGATCTCCCTGTTCTTCCACGAACGGCGGTATTTCGAACCTTGTAGGTTCTTCTTTTATTTTGGCAACATTTTCCTGCCAAGGTTCTCGTCGGTCGTTGTTTCCAGCATGTCTTTCTTTGCTTTAATAATCTCTTTTTAGATCGCTTCTTCCGATTTCTCGAATTGTTTCGTTGCTTTCTTTTTTGGCCTTTACTCTGAAGTGTTGCTTCGAAGAGTCCGTAGGTCTCTCCATCATGTACAGTCTCGTTGTACTCCCATCGTTCTAAGACGGTTTGCAAAAATCGGGACGCCTATTATTTAAAAAAAAATATATGCTATGTTGCATTCATTTGTATTTTGGCACATTTCTTTTTATATTGTGTTGGTACCGAGAACTTCGGGATTCCCATTACACGGACCGTTTCTTTTTTGGCACTTTTTTTTTGTTAACCTTGTGCAGGTACACTTCTTCCTCCGGTGGGGGATCGAGCTTGCTTGCAGTTTCAACTTCAATCTTCGGCACAGTTTGCCACACTTTGCATCGGTGCCAGTCTTTTTCTTTACGAGTGTTGAACTGTGTTCAAGAGAAGAACTCAACTAGATTAATTTTCCCATTCGTCGTCTCGGCCATCGTAAGTTGGCTCGTTTGCAGCATTCTCTTCTTTTTCTTAACATTTAGGAAATCCTCATTGCCCCACTTTAGTTTGTCGGCATTGTCCCGAATGAAAGAAAATCATCCCCTCGCTGCCACGACTTTTCGAATTCTGCTTACAGCATCTCATAATCGAAAGCAGTAGTTAATATGGTGACATGGTCACAATAGAATATTACGTCATCATAATTCTTAATTATTTATTCATAATTTTATTAATTTTATTTTCCTCATAATGGGTTGAAGCATATGACGGGGGTATTTGAGGGTTTATTGAAATATTAAAAACAAAAGTGGTATTAATTAAGTGGCGTTGTGTAGCGTGACGTGTTAAGTTTGTCATGTTTCCTTAAAATTTATAGTCCACTATTGTGTGCTCTTTAGAAATTGGTAACAATGAGAAAAAATTGAGACAAAAGGGAGATAAGTCTGCCAGTGCTGGATTTACAGTCACAAAAGAATCTTCTTGCCCATTAAATTAATGAGGGTATTGAATTTGAAAACAAAAGGTTAGGTTAGGGAATTATCGGTGACAGTTTGGTGACTGTAAATTTTGTGACTATAGTTTGAATTGCCCGGGTGAATGATATTTGGTGACGTAGCGCGGAATGGACGATTTCTATTGGCTTATGTAAAGAACGGTTTCTATTGGTTCAGAGATATCATTGATGATGAATATGTAACATTAAAAAGGGTATAGTCTCCACAACCAAGTTCGTCGTCGTAATTTTTGTTACCGTCAATCCCACGTTTCCGATCTCTGTATTTATTATAATATCACGACTATAGAAATAATTAAATTTTCTCCATTTCTATCATATTGACAGTGGACTAGAATTTAGATGTGTATAAGAGACAGATATTACGTCATCATAAGGTTAAAGTTTTACATATTTATTATTGTACTTTGTATACTAGGTTTCTAAGCCTAAACTAGTGGAGTAAATATACTCAAACAAACTTACACCATTCAAATAATTTAATTCTTGAACTCTAAATATTATGGTAAAAAAGAGGGCTTTATTCTCACGTTTGCCATCATTACTATGTTTGCCATTCATCACTACGACTGAAATCAACAATAAATTCACCACAAATAGATGAGATAGTAACAAATTATTATGTCTGTTTCTATTTAATTCGTAATTAATAATAAGCCTGTAAAATGAAAAGAGAGAAATTATATATTTTAGTTGTAAAATGTATGAAACTGTTAGTAGGGCCTATCAAATAGGCCGTGTTATTTTTGCTTGTATTGCACTTTACGAGAAGTACCAATACTGAGTACGATGGTATGGCTACATGATGAATATGCAACATTAAAAAGTGTATACAGTCTCCACAACCAAGTTTGTCATCGTAAATTTTGTTACCGTCAATCCCACGTTTCCAATCTCTGTATTTGTTATAATATCAATACGATAGAAATAATCGAATTTTCTCCATTTCTATCATATTGACAGTGGATTAGAATTACTGTCGTTGGTTTAACTAACATGTTTACGGGCAAATTTAGACAACACAGGGTTGAAGTTTTATATATTTAGTGTTATTATTGTACTTTGTATACTAGGTTTCTAAGCCTCAAATAGTGGAGTAAATACACTCAAACAAACTGACACCATTCAAATAATTTAATTCTCGAACTCTAAATAATATGGTAATAAAGAGGGCTTAATTAATTCCAACGTTTGCCATTATTACTATGTTTGCCATTCATCACTACGACTGAAATCAACAATAAATTCACCACAAATAGCTGCAATAGTAAAATATTATTATGTCTGTTTCTGTTTAATTCGTTATAATATAAGCCTGTAAAATGAAAAGAAAGAAAGTATATATTGTAGTTGTAAAATGTATGGAACTGTAGTAGGGCCTATCATATAGGGCCTCGGCTTGAATTAAATGACCAATCAGAACCTGTTATTTTTGCTTGTATTGCACTTTACGAGAAGTACCAATACTGAGTACGATGCTATGGCTAACACAATATGATATTTGAAACGCTTTTTTTACATATTTATTTATTTATTTTAATTCTTTTTTAATTGCTTTTATATATTTCATATTTACAATCACTAACTAATACTATATAATTTAAATGGTGATTGAAATAACTAATTATATTTGTTGTAATGTTATGAGAATATTACTAATATTTAACTAAAGTCGCATAGTATACAGTAACTATTCAGACACAGAGAAACGATTGCATCTTGTACTGTTTCAACGATAAGCAAAGCTTTTTATTTATTTCATCAATCAATAATAAATACTTTGTAAATCATTATCATAGAATTTACATTAATTTACAAATAAAAAATATAATATTTCTCTTATAATTACAATAATTTACAATATATACAGCTTTTATATTTACACAAACGCAATACAGTTTCAATA